GAGGGGGGGAGTGTTCAGTAATTGTTTCCCTCTACCGTAGTGGGTACTCTCCGCAGATTCAGATTCGACCTCACCATCCCTGTGGTGCTGCGATGTGCGGATCTGTCGCCGCTTTCGAAGGCTGCTGGGGGGGGAGCATGGTGGGTACCCGCCGCAGATTCAGATTAGACCTAACCATCCCTGGGGGGCTGCGATCTGAGAAATTGTGCCAGTTTCGAGGCTGAAAGGGGGTCCAGCAGAGTGACGTCATCCGCAGAGCTACACTGAATCTCGCAATCCCTGTGGGGCTGCGATCTGCGAAAATATCGCCAGTTTCGAGGGCTGCTGGGGGGGTCTGCGGCGTGACGTCGAACGCAGACCTAAATTAGACTTCGCCATCCCTGGGGAGCTGCGACATGCAAATTTGTCGCCACTTTCGATGGCTGCTGGGGGGTCGAGCGGAGTGGCGTCCCACGCGTACCTATATTAGATCTCACCATCCGGGGATGGCCAACATTGCCGCCACTTTCGAGGGCTGCAAGGGGTTCCAGCGGAGAAACGTCCCACGCAGAAGAATATTTGACCTCGCCTTCCCTGGGGGGCTGCGATCTGCGAAAATGCCGTCATTTTCGAAGGCTGCCTGGGAGGTCCAGCGGAGCGACGTCCCACGCAGACCTTAGTCTGACCTCGCCTTCCCTGGTGGGCTGCGATCTGCGAACATGTCGCATTTTCGACTGCTGCCTCGGGGTCCAGCGGAGTGACGTCATACGCAGACCTAAAGTAGACCTCGCCATCCCAGAGCGGCTGCGATCTGCAAAATTGTCGCCATTTTTGCAAGGCTGCTGGGATGTCCCGTAGAGTGACGTCCTACGCAGACTCAGGTTAGGCCCTACCATCCCTGGAGGGGGCTGCGATCTGCGAAATTGCCGCCACTTTCGAGGGCTGCTGGGGGTTCCAGCGGAGTGACGCCCTGCGCAGATTCATATTCGACCTCACCCTCCCTCGTGGGCTGCGAACTGCGATGCGGTCGTCATTTGGGGGGCTGCTTGGGGTTCAGCGCAGTGACGTCCCACGCAGACTCAGATAAACCTTAAGTCGGGCCTGTCCCTCTACAGGGGGAATATTCCAAAGTAGTCCAAAAATACTCTGGGGACTATTTTTTGACTATGTTTGAGCATTTTGAAACTATGTTGGGGGTATTTTTTATTTTTCCTCCAAAATCCCCCTGTGGGAGGACACGCCCGACTTAAGATTCACCTTTCCCGCGGACCGCTGCTGGGGGCTCAGCGCAGTGACGCCCCACGCAGACTCAGGAGGAGGAGGAGGAGGAGGAGGAGGAGGAGGAGGGGGAGGGGGAGGAGATGAACCTTTCCCGCGGACCGCCCGAAGGCCTGGCGGTGCGCCCGCGGGCGCTTCGCTCCCGCAGTGCAGGGCTTGCCGGAGGGAAGCGGAGAGCCCGGCGGGCGAGCCCGGCCGCGCTCGCGTCGTGCATGCCGCCAGGGCGACACGGCGCGGGTCGCGCTGCTTTTGTTGTTGTTGTTGTTGTTGTTGTTGTTGGTGGTGGTGGTGGTGGTGGTGGTGGTGGTGGTGTTGGTGTTGTTGTTGTTGTTGTTGTTGTTGTTGTTGTTGTTGTTGTTGGTGTTGTTGTTGTTGTTGTTGTTGTGTTGTTGTTATTGCTGCTGATGTTGCTGTTGTTGTTGATGTTGTTGTTGCTGCTGTTGGTGTTGTTGGTGTTGTTGTTGGTGGTGTTGTTGTTGTCTTTGTTGTTGTTGCTGCTGCTGTTGTTGTTGTTGTTGTAGTTGCTGTTGTTGTTGTGGTTGTGAATGTGGTTGTTGTTGTGGATGTGGCTGTTGTGGCTGTTGTGGCTGTTGTTGTTGTGGCTGTTGTGGTTGTTGTTGTTGCAGTTGTTGCTGCTGCTGTTGTTGTGTCTCCATGGTTGAGAACTCAGATACCCTTCTTGGCACAATAACTGTGCAGCGGCACAACGAACATGTCACGGAATCCCTCTTGGAGGTTGTGAACATGTCAAACGGTCAGAATAAACATTGCATGCTTGAAAACGGTCGCGGGTCGCGCTGCTCGTCTAGCGTGCCAATGGAAAATGGTTTCCACATTCCTTCCTCGTCCTGCCTCTTTCGTTGTGGTCGTTTTCCTCCTTCGCCGCCTCACTGCTGGTGTCGCGTTAGCTTGTCGTCCCCTTTTCCGTCGTTGTCCTCTCCCTCGTTCCCACTCCCATGTCCTCTTCGGGCCTTGGGCCTCAGCCCTCGTCCTTCTGTTCCTGTCCTGTGAGTCGCGCGACGCGCGCGCTTCCCATATATCTCGCACAACCAATGGTTGTTCTTGTGTTGTCATCAAGCCATGCTCGTCTTGGCCACCTCGTCGTGCCACTTAATGCAAAGGGGTTGGTCACGTCGCGGGGTAATGTTACGAGGGCCGTGGTCTCGGAGGTGCGGAACCATAGTCCCCTCACATCCCAAGAGGGGCTATTGCTTTCTCCAGGCCCCTTGCAGCCTTCCGCCTCGCTCTCTTTCCTCATGCAAGTATTACTGGCCTTTCTTAGTTCCCCACATCCTACATTGGGTTCTTCTTTTCTCTGGACACCCCGCGCAGTCCTGTCACCCACACCCCTCTCTTCTCGACATCACTCGCGCACCCACTCACTCACACGCTCACTCACACCTCACCACCACAATCATCATCATCATCATCATCATCATCATCATCATCATCATCATCATCATCATCATCATCATCACCATCATCATCATCATCATCATCATTATCATCATCAGCATCATCATCGTCATCATCATCAGCAGCAGCATCATCATTAGCATTATCATCATTACCATCAGCGTCGTCATCGTCATCATCAACATCGTGATTAAATCATCAGCATCATCATCATCATCATCATCATCATCATCATCAGCAGCATCATCACACCATCATCACTATTTCTCCCTCATGCCTGAACATGAAGGAAGTATCAAGCGGGAACCTCGTCTGTGAGTAAATTGCGAGGAAGTCTCAGGCGGGAGCCCCCTTCCTTATGGGGCCCGCACTTCATGTTGGCAATCCGAGCAGGCCATCCGAAAGCTTTACTTGTCGTCAATTCTGGTGGTCCCCATGCCTGAAAATGGAAGAAGGAAGTATCAAGCGGGAGCGTCGTCTGTGAGTGAATCGCGAGGAAGTCTCATGCGGGAGCCCCCTTTTTCTGGGGCCCGCACTTCACGTTGGTAATCGGAGAGGGTCATTCGCAAGCTTGTAGTTGTCGTCTTTTTTGGGCGTCCTCATGGCTGAAAATGGAGGACGTATCAAGCGGGAGCCTCGTGTGTGAGTGAATTGCGGGAAAGTCAGGCGGGAGCCCCCTCATTCAGGGGCCCGTGCTTCATGTTTGTAATCCGAGCGGGTCCTCCGAGAACCTGTAATTGTCGTCACTTTTGGGGGTCCTCATGCCTGAACATGGAGGTATCAACCGGGAAGGTGGTCTGTGAGTGAATAGCGAGGAAGTCTCAGGCGGGAGCCCCCTCCCCTTTGGGGCCCGCATCCCCTGTCGGTGATCCGAGCGGGTCATCCGCAAACCTCTAATTGTTGTTACTTCTGGGGGCCTTCATGCCTGAATACGGAGGACTATCAAGCGGGAGGAGCTGCAGCAGGAGCGTCAGGAGGAGGAGGAGGAGACGAGAGGAGGAGAAAGGAGGAGGAGGAGGAGGAGGAGGAGGAGGAGGAGGAGGAGGAGGGAGGGAGGGAGGGAGGGAGGGAGGGAGGGGGAGGAAGGAAAGTAGGAGGAGGGAGAGGGGAGCCCCAGAAGGAGGACGTATCAAGCGGGAGCCTCGTCTGTGAGTGAACGGCGAGGAAGTCACAGGCAGGGGCCTCCCCCCTGTGGGGCCCGCAGATCCTGCCACCGATCCGAGCGGGTCCTCCGAGAACCCGAAGCCGTCGCCACCTGTGGGCTCCTTGAGGCCTGGACATGGAGGAAGCACGTTCCGAAATCGGAGGAGGGGTGAGAGGAGGAGGAGGAGGAGGAGGAGGAGGAGGAGGAGGAGGTAGGAGGGAGGAGGAGAGGAGGAGGAGGAGGAGGAGGAGGGAGGAGGGAGGAGGAGGAGGAGGAGGAGGAGGAGGCGCAAGCGGGGACACGGCGGTCGGCATCCCCGGGGGGGAGCGCACGGGCCTGGGCCAGGCGCGGGGTCCCCGCGGGGGCCCCCGCGCCCTCGTGGCCCCGCTGCTCGCCTCCCGCGAGCAGCGCCGGCTTCGAGACACTGCGCCCGCGCGCATACGGTGGAGACCCATGCCCAAGAGCACCCTCCTCCTCCCCCTCCTCCTCCTCCCCTCCTCCCTCCTCTCTCCCTCCTCCTCCTGCTCCGCCTCCTCCTCCTGCTCCGCCTCCTCCTCCTCCTCCGCCTCCTCCTCCGCCTCCTCCTCCTCCGCCTCCTCCTCCGCCTCCTCCTCCTCCGCCTCCTCCTCCTCCGCCTTCTCCTCCGCCTCCTCCTCCGACTCCGGCACCCGCGCGCATACAGTGGAGACCCACGCCAAGAAGCACCCTGCTTGCCTCCAGGGTACCCTGGGTTTCTTCGGTCTCGATGGTCTTGCTGTAGGATGCTCCAACCTACTCTAGCGTTGATCACCAGGAAGAACTTCGAGCGGCCCAAGAAAAGTACCGAAACGCAAGGGTTTTCACGTGTCGGGCCCTGGGAGACACTCGCCCGACGCTGTTTCGACACTGTTTCGACACTCTTTTGACATGTTTCCGGGTGCTCTGAATTATTTCTGGGATGCGGTCCTTAAGTAGGATGGGAACAACATAAGTCGTGGCTATGGAAAGCGTGCCGTTCCCACACAAAAAATCAGTGGACGTCCTGGGGTCTCAGGGTCGGGTTTCTTGTGAGAGGTTTCTTGTGGACTGGCCTCCACTGTATGTTGCCCCGCAGCTGCGCCGCTACCAGCCACCACGTACCACAGCGTGCCTGTCCCGACCCCTCGTATGCTTTGTCGGAGCCGCGTGTGCCCTGCCGCGCCAGGCCAGATGGCAGGGCAGAGATCAAGCTTCTCGGGCGAGAAGGCGTGCAAAACCGGTCCAACGTGATGGAGATGCTTGACTTTTTGGACAAGTTCTCCCGAACAGGCGGGGGCGCCGTTTCTCAGTGGAGATGTGGAGTCTGCAAATGCCGGCACACTGTTTAGGCTGCGATGGGGTAGAGCTAATCAAACAAGGTGTTACAAGGGGCTGTCTTGGGGACCTCTTGGGGCCCTCTTAAGCCATGTTGGGGCCCTCAGGGGCTGTCCTGGGCCCCTGTTCGGCCGTCTTGGGCACCCTGGAGGCCCCCGTTGGGCTCTGTTGGCTTTTCTTTGGCTTCTCCGAGGCCCACTTAGAACCATCTTGAGCTGAGAGGCCCAGGAAACGCAACAGGATTCAACCAGCTACGGACTTCTCAAAAGCTGCAATCCTTCTGCAGGGCCTCCTGGCCTTCGCCCTGATGCCTCGGAGCCGTCGTGGGGCCCCCGTGCCACCGTGTCGCCTTTGGGGGCTAGGGGCTGCCGGGAACCTCTAAAACAGGGCTAGGATCGGGATAAATCGCTCCAGAGCGTTCCGGAGCGCTCTCAGAGCGTTCCAGAACGCTCTGGAGCGGCCGCGGCGCCCAATACATCCTCCAAACCCGCCGGTTCTCAGAGACTTCGAGTTATCCCGACCCGATTTTGTCCCGATCTTCGTGTCGTTTTATCGGCATCCCCCCAACATACTTATACTATGTGTTCGTCGCCCCCCCAGGGGCGACGCGCGCACCGAGAAATCTTATAGTATATGCGTCGTGGCGGGCACTTTCTGGCCACACCTCTCGGGAAACGATATATTACAAGATGGGTATACTATATGTTCGGGTCGGACGCGCGCGTCCAAGGATGACTTATAGTACTAGTACGTCTTTGTGCATCCCATTTTAACCTCCGGAGGCAACGTCGGGCCATGCTGGCGGTCCTGTGGGCTCCGTTGGCCTTCCCGGGCCGCCCGGGAGGCTTTCGCGAGAGCTCCGGAGGCCCCCGGAGCGGCGTCGGGGAGCGCGAGGGAGCCTCCGGGAGCGGAGCGGTGGGGCCTGCAGCCGAGTGTGGCGAGAGGGGGCCGCGGCACACTGCTCCTCCTCCTCCTCCTCCCTCCTCCTCCTCCTCCTCCTCCTCCTCCTCCTACTCCTCCTCCCCTCCTCCTCCTCCTCCCCTCTCCCCCTCCTCCTCCTCCTCCTCCCTCCTCCTCCCCCTCCTCCCCCCTCCCCTCCTCCTCCTCCTCCTCCCCCTCCTCCTCCTCCTCCCTCCTCCTCCTCCTCCCCTCCTCCTCCTCCTCCTCCCTCTCCTCCTCCTCCTCCTCCTCCTCCCCCTCCTCCTCCTCCTCCTCCTCCTCCTCGCTTGGATGCTTGCCAGGCTGCACGTGGCGTGCTACAGTCGGGGCGCTGAGGAAGGAACCCTTTTCGTTGGGGAGGGGCTCGGTGTTCCTTAGTTGTTTTGCAGTTCGCCTTGGGTTTTGCTTGGGGGTTCGATGGGACATCGAAGTTTAACTCATGGGAAAAAGGGGCCTCGTTCCTTATTTAGGGTTCCTTAGGTCAACGCCCCGACTGTACCACGCCTCCACGTGCCAGGGGACGCGGTGGCGGACTCGTCGGAAGCGGGGAAGAAGGGTTCCTTGGAGGGCAAGCGGATCGTCTTGCTGGTCTGGAGTCGCCGCGGCTCCATGTTTGCCCCCCCCGGGCTCCCCGAAAGGCTCCCCACGAGGCGGGGCTGATGGAGAGAGCACCAGCTGGCGCTGCTTGCAACATCGCCTTCTGAAAGCAGAAGTGGGGCTCCCGCTTGATACTTCCTCCAAACGACGCCGCTCCGAAGTGGGGGGGCCTTCTGCGGCCCAAGCATTCAACGAATCGGCACCGGATGAGTAATCACTTGCGATGGTTCTGGAGGTAATTTGCTAGATTTGGGGTTTATTTGGACGGACCGAAAACGCCCGCGCTACAGCGGAAGCATGTTTTGGAACAACCAGAGGCGCAGAAATGGGGCCAGCGCTGCAGCGGGAGCAACATTCTGAAAGACCGAAAATAATCGGATTGTCAGAAAAGATATGGAAACCCGGAAATGAGGCCATCGCTGCAGCGGGAGCACGATTTGGAATGAGCGGAAGCGCAGAAATCAGGCCAGCGCTGCAGCGGGAGCACGATTCGGAACGAGTGGAAGTCCGAAAATGAGGCCAGCGCTTCCGCGGGAGCAACGTTTTGAAAAAACAACCCGAGCGAAAACCCAGTTCCCAGGAACCCTGTGTGTAGAAAACCATACGCGGAGGGGGTCGGATATCTTCCAGACGTTCTCAGGGGATAGAGGAGAGTAGCATTCGTATTGTGGAATTGTGAAGGGGAGTGGAATGGGCAAGGGAGGAGGAAGGAGGGAGAAGTGAGGAAATGGGCGGGGAGGAAGGAGAAGGCTGGGCCAGGAGGAGGGAGGAGGAAGAGGATCGGATCGGATCGGATCGCATCAGAGGTCAACGGAAAAGCCTCGCTGGAAGCCGAAGCCAGGGGCTTTGCAACTCTAAGTGCGGGAGCTGCAGGCCAAATAACCTGCTCGAGGCGGGCACTCAGGGGACCAAGCGAGCGACCCGCGAATCGCCGCTCGCCAGACTGAAGAACCAGCACGAGCTGGACCCGAGACGTCCAGGGCCCAGCACGTTACGCCAGGCCGGCTGGAGGCTGGAGGGCACCTGACACCCTGCGCTGCTGCAATACCTGCACAAGCTGCCGCTGCTCCTCATCATCCACAAGGGCTCCCACGAGGGCGCGAAGTTGGTCGCGCTTCGCGCCTCGCGGGCCTCATTCCTCCTCCCCCCCCTCCTCGTCCTCCTCTTCTCCTCTCTGGGGGCGGCGCGAGAGCGCGAAGCTGCTCGCGCTTCGCGCAGCGCGGAGCGCGAAGTTGGGAGCCCTTGCATCCATACAGCCGTGCGCAGCGCGAAGCGCGAAGTTGGGAGTCCTGGCCTGCCACGCCTCGGCGCGATATGCGCCGCCCACTTCCCGGTCCCCAAAGGCTTCCGCGCCCCGGACCTCTCCGAGACGCCCCCCGCCCCGCGCAGCGGAGCGGCACGCTGCCCGGCTCGCGGGGGCACGGCGTGCCCGCCGGGGCCGCCGCCGCGACGCGCTGAAAGTGGAAGCTGTTGGCCGCAGAAGCAAGGGCGCCCTCGAGGGCGCGAAGTTACTCGCGCTTCGCGCCTCGCGGTTCGGCTCCGATTCCTCCTCATCCTCCTCTTCTCCACTGGGAGGCAGCGCGAGAGCGCGAAATTATTCGCACTTCGCGCTTCGCGCAGCGCGAAGCGCGAAGTTGGGAGCCCTTGCAAAAGCCACGCCAACCGAAGGGCACGTAACTCCCTGTGCTGCTGAAGTACCTGATCAAACTGCTGCTGCTGCTGCTGCTACAGTCGCACCGAGGTCTGAGATCGAGGCCTGTTCGGGGAGGGTGCCCTCAGAGGTTCTTCGTGCTGGTTGGACGTCCTTGTCCCTCCTGGGGCAGTGCTCCCTCGAATGCTTTTCCGTCGGGCCCGCAGAGAAAGTTCCTGAAGGATGCTCTTCTGTTCTATGTCCAGCCGTACTGAGATCGCAGACCTCGCTGTCTGCGACGATGTCAATCGAGAAAGCACGAAGCTCGAAATCTGGGTGGGTAGTTTTAAGATCCTCAACTGCACATGATGTGTCGCCCTGGCGATGTTGCCCACAGAAGAGGTCAGCCACAGGAAGGGTTCGGTGATGCAGCTTGCTTGGGGTACGATGAGCCAGAGTGTCCTGATGTGCCTCTTTCTCATAACGCCAATCGGGAAAAAGCCCCCGAGTCTTCAAACTGCTCCAGCCATGTTCTGAACTATCCAGTCGCATGCTGGAGGGTGTTGTGTATGCAAGCTTGTGCCTGCTGTCGCGCGGCGGCATGGGCAACCGGCCCAAGCGCAAACAACGAGGGACACTCGGAGTGTGACGCTGAGTATCCCTCTCGATGAGCACTCTGGTTGGCCTGGTGCTCCTCCAAGGTAAGTCTCTTTCAGATTCCAGCAGAAGTTGGGGCACATGATTGAGATAACAAAGCCAATTGGCCGCCATGTTGCGACATGGTGAAGCAGAAGCGACCTATTAGATGGAAACATCCTCGGGGAAGCGGCACGTGTAGGTCCAGACGAATGTCTGCGAGCCAATCCCGTGACATGTACCGCTCTGACGCGAGCGTCCAGCGACGCGAAAGTTGAGGACTTCAAGTCGCAAGAGGGGCAGTGGAGCTCGAGCGGCCCCTGCACCTCAGGACCATCCCTGGCGGGAGGCAGACTGGAAGCTTGCGACATCTTGAGAAGCTGCTTCTGCCATCGGTCCCCATCGAGATCTCTCCTGGCGTTTTCGACGCATACCTTGGTTGCCTCGGCCACAGGACGCTTCCATGCCTGAGAAGGAGCCTGCACTTTAGTGACCCACGCCTGGGGGTCTGAGACAGGGCCCCGCACATGAGAAATGGAGTGGTGACCAGACCTCAACTAGCTGGAGTCATACAAAACATGATGCCACCATGATTGTCTATTTTAACCTCGAGTGGCCTGTGCGTATCCGGTATGAAGCAAAACCAGTACTGGTCCAGGTGCAGGCCCGAGTACGGCAGGTTCGCGTCGTGTCGACCGGCGGCGACCCCGCCGCGGGCGTTCAAGGTTGAACGCCGCCAGTGGCCCAGGATCGGCCAGTATGGAACGATCTGGCGATCGAATATCCGCCGATCGCTCGAGGTTGAACGATCTACGGGGTGTCGTGGACCGACGCTGGGGTCGACACGACACGAGCCCGCGGTACCTGACACAATAGCCGTAATCGATGCGCTCGGGGTAGGGCGCTCAAGACAGGCCTTGCAGCTGCAGCCATCAACGCGTCATCCGTAGGCTCATGCGCTTCACAGCGCGGGCGCCCGAGAACCCTCCTGTATTTTGCGGCGCACTGCGACCCAATGACGAACCAGAGCATTGCCATGCATGTTACACCAAGTTCCTGCCCTATCCATAGCGGAGGTCAAGGCCAAGGAATCGAAGGCAATTTGGTTTGGCATGACGGCATCCTTGGAGCCCCTCGTGAAGGCCTTGCCGAGCTCTGCTATTGGGGCCCTTGCTTCCGCTTCCCGATGCACCAGCTCGTGCTCAAGGAGGGCCCTGTCCGTGAGGACAGCGCCAAGATATACATGGCTGCGAACCACATGCGCATGAGGCCCTCCACACAGCAGTGATAGCACTGGATATGCACCAGCAAGGGTATGAAGGGCATGCCTTCGAAACTTAGCCGATCCGTTGCCGTTCAGGTGTAGCATACGCTCGGTTTTGCCTGCCTCGAGGTGCGACACCAAACCCACTGGAGCAAACGACTTGAGAACATTCCTGCCGAAGCTCTCGAGGTGGGTCTCAAACACGTCCAGGGTGGCCAGGAACGCAAAGAGAGAGTCATCTGCATAGACCAAGCCAGGGAAATCTACCTTCTCCTCTCCGTCAGCTCCCCTTCGAAAGAAGTTACAAGCAGGGACATTTAGAGATAGGGAAATGCCCAGTGCAGAAGGTTCGCGAGCAGCACCATTCGTGACCGCAGAGATGATGAAGAGGAGCTTGGCGCCTCCGAAGGGCGTCCCAGGACGGGCCCCACGGCAGGCAATCGAGACCAGAGAATCAAGGGCATAAAAAAAACGCCCCTACACTGGTTTATGAGGCGCTGTGCGCTGAAACTCCGGCGGGCTGACAGGGTAAACCCTGCGTGATGTGCCGCGTCCTGGCGGCTCTCTAGGCTTTGGGGGTTCCCAGGAGGTTTACAGACCACGCACTTGTAACCCAGGGTAGGGTCGTTTTTTTTTTCATCCCTCAAGAGCAGCACCAGGACAGTGAAACCAACCAACCCGAACAGTTTCCCCAGCCACGGCTCTGAAGTGGTCGTTGAGACCACGACGGTGCAGCGGCGGCAGCTCCTGCAGACGCTGCGCCGGCAGGGGGAGAGACCCTGCCTCGCTCGGAAGGCCTGGAAGGCATGCCTCGCACGGAGAGGGTCAGCCGCCAGGTCGGCGTTGAGTACAGTCGGCCCCGATTAGTGGGTCGACCCTGCCAAATCAAGGTCACCCTTGTGTCCTGTGTCTCGCGGCCCATGCTTCCTACATTACTGCGGCAGTGTGGCCCCCAGAAGGGTCTTGCGTCCTCTCGCGTGTCCTGTCCAATCGAGTCCGACTGCACGAGCTCCCGGATGGCAAACTGGAGCGCGCTTGCCATGCTGGCGAATCAAAGGCCCAAGCACTTGCCAAAGCCTTGTGAATGTGCTTGTAAGCATCGAGCAGCCAAAAGGGCAAGCTGGATCAGGCTGGGTGCCACGACCTGGTACTCCTGCAATGTGATGTGTACCTACCGCAGACTGCAACGCCAGACTAGCTTACGCCCGAGACACGCGTGGTACTGGACCGCGATACATGACCACGTTCCTTGGGAATCGCGTGGAGGCTACACCTTACGACGTTCCTTGGTAATCTTGGGGAGGCCACCTCCTTCCTTTTCACTGCAGGGATTCATAGGGATTCCGAACTGAGAAGGCCCGTCTTAACCACCAGCGGCTCATAGGTGAAAACCAACGGATTATAGACGCTTTGCGTAACCCGACCAGCCCATCCAGAAACGATTCCCAGGCGAGTTGCCTTGATAAGGGATGTTGAGCAGTATCCAGTAAAATAAAGGGCTGTGGGGAGCCGCCATACTCCAAGAGGGGGAGGATGGAGGACGAATCGGAGGAAGAGGAGGAGGAGGAGGAGGAGGAGGAGGAGGAGGCGGAGGAGGAGGAGGAGGGGGGGGAAGGAATAGGCGGAGGAGGAGGCGGAGGAGGAGGAGGAGGAGGAGGAGGAGGAGGCGGAGGAGGCGGATGAGGAAGCGGAGGTGGAGGAGAGAGGAGGAGGAGGAGGAGGAGGAGGAGGAGGAGGAGGAGGACGAGGAGGAGGAGGAGGAGAAGGAGGAGGAGGACGAGGGAGTAGGAGGAGGAGAGGAGGCGGAGGAGAAGGAGGAGGAGGAGGAGAGTGAGGGAGGAGGAGGAGGGCGATCAGAAAGGCCCGAGGCCTCTTGGATGACTCTCGGAGTCTCTTCGGATATCTCTTGGGAGGTTTGTGGAGTCCTCTTGGGGCGTCTTGGGGGTTGCCTCTTGGCGGTCTCGATGGCCTCTTGGGTGCCTCGGGGGGCATCCTGGGGGTCTCCTGGAAGCCTTTTGGGAAGAGGTCCTCTTGGGACCATCTTGGAGGAGTTCGACCAACGAAGGGCGGGCAGTCAATCAGCCCACCCCCCCAGAAGCCAAAATGTGCTCAACGTCCCAAGTCTCAGGAGATCAGTGATTTGTGCCTTCTCGCTGGCACCTCGCGAAAACCCCTTCCAGGTCCAGGGGGGGAGGTAGGGGGAGGGGCAACACCTTCCTTGAAATGGGGGAAGGCGGGGCGGAAGAGGAAGCGCTCTGGCCCGCCTGCGCCCAGGGGGCTGGTGGACTTCTTAGCACCCTGCCCGAACGCAAAAAAGGCCAGGTACAGACCACCCGTGCAGTAAGGATGAGCAACTTCCCAAGGCCCAAGGCTACTCCAGATTTCGCAATAAAGGGAGGGGGGTCTCATTTCGGGGGGGTCTCTTCCAGGCTATCTTGGAGGGCCTGGGTGGGTCTGGGGACGATGTTTTGGAGGGTTCTCCCACAGGGGGGGGGGGTCTGAAATGGCCTGTCTTGGAGGGTCCAGACACCCTCCCTTTTATTACGAAATCTGGAGTACCCCTTCGTCCTCGTCGTCGTCGTCGTCGTCGTCGTCGCCGGTCTCCCGCCGTGCGCCGCGGCCCGCCCGCGCCCCGCGGCGCCTGCCTCCGTGCTCGGGGGCCGCTCGCCGGCCGCGGCCGCGCGGCTCGCCGTGGTCCGCCCTCCGCCCAGGCGCGCTGCCAGGAGCGCAGCCGCGCTGCCCTTGCCCCTTCGGCACATCCCCTCCTCCTCCTCCTCCTCCTCCTCCTCCTCCTCCTCCTCCTCCTCCTCCTCCTCCTCCCCGCCTCCTCCCTCCTCCTCCTCCTTCCTCCTCCTCCTCCTCTCCTCCCTCCCCTCCTCCTCCTCCCCCTCTCCTCCTCCTCCTCCTCCTCCTCCTCTCCTCCTCCTCCTCCTCCTCCTCCTCCTCCTCCTCCTCCTCCTCCTCCCCCGACAACTTTCGCTGGCGTGCCGAACCTGCTGGTGCACATCCCCGGGGCGAGCACATCTGTCGCAAAGGGAGCGCATGATCGTTGAAGGTGAGAGCTTGGCCGCCATGTCTTGCACAGAAGAGTCAGCAAGCAATCGTTCATTCGTTGGCGAAATTGACTCCACGAGCTCGCCAACAGGTCCTTGCACAGCTGGAAGAAGCCCGACCTTTTTTTGGTGACGCTTACCTACTGCTCCCAATCTCCTTGGCGTAGATGAAGCATCCCAAACTCCCGAGCCGAACACTGATCCCCAATCGAGTCAGCCATACCGTTTTATAGCCTTATCCACATCTCTACGCGAGTGAACATGCGCCGCTTCGTTGAGCGGCTGCAGGGGCAGGAGTGGAAAAGCATGAAACCGAAGGTGTAACATACGACACAGAAGAGCCAATCCCAGACCACGTCTTGCGTCTTGCGAGGGAACCGGCCCGTCGAGGGAAACCATACTAGCGAAATCGAGCGACAGCCTTCCCACAACGCCCGTCTCCACGACGGAAGTCGTCGGCTAGCAGCGACTGTACAATAAGAGACGCCTGCTTGCCCTCTGCTTGCCCACTCGTCCAGCAGGACGATGAGGAGGACGAGAAGGAGAAGGAGGGGGAGGAAGAGAGCGATACATAAGAGAGAGAGAGAGAGAGAAAGAAAGAGAAAAAGAGAGAGATAGAGAGAGAAAGAAAGAAAGAAAGAAAGAGAGAGAGAGAGAGAGGGAGGAGGAGGCGGAGGATGAGGATGAGGAGGAGGAGGAGGAGGGGGAGGAGGAGGAGGAGGAGGGAGGGGGGATGCAGACGAGGGGCAGGCCGACACGGAGGGGAGGAGGAGAAGGAGGAGGAGAAGGAGGAGGAGGAGGAGGAAGAAGAGGAGGAGGAGGGGAGGGAGGGGAGGAGGAGGGAGGGGGAGGCAGACGAGGGGCAGGCCGACAAGGAGGAGGAGGAGGAAGAGGAGGAGAGGAGGAGGAGGAGGAGGAGGAGAGGAGGAGGAGGAGGGAGGGGGGAGGAGGCAGACGAGGGGCAGGCGGACAAGGAGGGGGAGGAGGAGGAGGGCGCGAGAGGAGGACAAGAGGTGCGAGAACCCCACCAACACACATTTCTCGAGTCTGCGAAAAGGGTCTGGAGTAAGGAGACGGGCGCGCGAGGGAGTACTTCAAAAGAGGGCTTCCCAGCGCACGCGCAGCGCGGTTTCGCGATATGTTTCGACTTGCGCTCGCTATCGGTCCCCCCGATGAGCCTGATCAAGGAGGTCGCCGACTGGGGCAACGAGAAGGCGCGAACCGCGTCGATCGGCCTTCTCGAGCACGCTCCCAGGAAGATGGGTGGGAGGAGGAGGAGGAGGAGGAGGAGGAGGAGGAGGAGGTGGGAGAAGAAGCAGGGAAGGTAGAGGTTCGAGAACCGTTGTACTTGGGTCTCTATGACTTTGTGAAACCGGGCCATTCTGGTAGTACTCTCCGCTGGGAAGTTGTGGTAAGGGTTGTCTGATGTTCATTGTAGACTGACCGATGATCGACATATTCTTCGTCGCTGAGTTAGCCGCAGCTATGTGTGTGCAGGACCAGCAGCACGGCAGGTGCGCCAGTGCACGTGACAGCACGCATCGGGCATATGTTCGGCATCCCCGCCATACCTGCCGAACAAAGCCGTTGCAAAGTGTCGTCGGGGCAGTCAGCATGGCATATGTATGATGTGTGCATATGCATTCAGTTCGCATTCGTTGTTTTTGTTTTCGGGGCAGTGTGCCAACGCACAGCGGACTTCTTTGATCCCCCCCTCATCCCTTGCGACAGCTAATGCAAAACGCTCGCGGAAGTGTCCGCTCACGATCCAGAAGTTTCCACCTCGCCCACTTGGTACTGTGTGTTCTCAGTCCTCCTGTGTTGGGCCATCGTTTTGCATCCGCAGCGCCGCGCTCCACCCTCCTTTCTCTCCGCCCTCCTCTTCCCACGCTCCTCAGCGGTTCGATGCCCGCTCCGGCGCACACCTCGCACGCCGCTTCGTGGCCCCGTAGGGAGCCCCACGCACGGCCTCAATGGGCGCCACCGCACGGGGCTCACCCGTGCCCATTTCTCCGACGAAGGCATCTATACACCACCACCGTGCCAGGCCAGGGCCATCCTGGGTTCCAGGATGGTGTACAGACCCTCCTGGCCTTGGCCAGGATGGCGTATACACCATGCCAGGGCCAAGATGGCCCTGGCATGGCACGGTGGTGGTGTATATATGCCTTCTGCGTAATTTCGGCTCACCTCTCCAACGTTTCGTGGCCCCATACGCGGCTCCACCTGCGGCCTCACTGGCCGTGACCGCACGGGGTCCCCCCGCCCACTTCCGCGCTGCGGCCTCCTTGCCTTGGGGGTAGGTCGGAGGGCGCTCCAGGGTCCCGCGCTCGTCGCGGGGCGATGGGCTCTGGTGGACGGGCCAGGCACCCTGGAGAGGGTACAGGCATTTCGGGATCGCAGAGGCCTGGGGCGTGGAGAAGGGGAAAGGAGAGCGAAGAGGAGGAGGAGGAGGTCAAGGAGGGTGAGAGAGGCAAGTGAGGGTGTCGAGGAGGAGATCTAGGAGGTCAAGGAGGATATGAGGAGGAGGAGGAGGAGGAGGAGGAGGAGGAGGACAAGGATGAGGCCAAGGAGGCCAAGGAGGTCAAGGCGGAGGTCAAGGCGGAGGTCAAGGCGGAGGTTAAGGAGGTCAAGGAGGTCAAGGAGGTCAAGGAGGTCAAGGAGGACGAGGTCAAGCGAAGAGGAGGTCAAGGAGGATAGGGGGAGAAAAGTAAGCAATAATAAGAAGGGGAGACGGACCTTCTCCGCGCCCTCCAATCCCCTCTCCTCCTTCTGCTCGGGTTTCGCGCGTCCTCTCCCCTCTCCCCTCTCATCCTCTCCTCCTCGCCTCTCCTCTCCTCCTCTCCTCCTCTCCTCCTCTCCTCCTCTCCCCTCTCCCCTCTCCTCCCCCCTCCTCGTTGCCCCTGTCCCGCCGCGTCTCCCCCCACTCCGGCGAGCGAGGAGCGGCAGCGAGCAGGAGCAGGCCCCTATCCGAAGGCCGGCGGGGCTCGTCGGAGGCCCTCCGATTTCCCGAGAGGCTCTTTCTTGGCATCGCTCGGACGTGTGCGTTTTTTCCCCGGCGGGGACCAGCGAGGAGCATCCTGGATCCTCTGGCGACAAAACAAGCACGCACCGAAGCCGAACAATGTACGGGGAATGGACGTCCGAGCGATGGCGAGCGATGCCGAGCGAGGAGCGGCAGCGAGCAGGAGCAGGCCCTCCTCCGAAGGCCGGCGGGGCTCGTCAGAGGCCCTCCGACCTCCCGGGGAGGCTCTCTGCGTCCTCGGGGGAGGCCCCTGCGCCCTCGGGGGAGGACCTCCCGAGGGGCTTCCCGCGTCCTCGGGGGAGGCCCCTTCGCAGACCTCTCGGAAGGCGTCGGGCGGGGGGGGGGCCTCAGCCTGCCGCGGCGGGCCCGGGCCCCGCCCCCCCCTCTCTCGCTTCCTCGCCCCTGGGCGCGCCGCCGAGCGCTCGCTCGTGGCTGGCCGCCCCTTTCTCTCCCCGCTCCCTTGTCGCTTTCCTTCTCTTGCCCTCGCTTTGCCTCCTCTTCCCCTTTCTTTCCCTTCTCTCTCTCTCTCTCCCTTCTCTCTCTCCCCTTCTCTTCCCCTTCTCTCTCTCCTTTCTCTCTCCCCTCTCTTTCCTCCTCTTCCCCTTCTCTCGCCCTGCCGTTGCTTCTCCTGCCTCTCGCCATTCCCCCTCTCTTTCCCATATCTTGCCTCGCCTTCCCCTCTCTTCCCTCCTCCTGCCTGCTCGTGCAGGCGCACGCCCGCGCACGCACCATTCTCAGGCAACGGCCTGTTCCTCCATCTTGGTACCGGCACCGACTGGTTGCCTTCCCACGCACCTGCCAGCGTTCTTGATGGTCGGCGGTGCGTTGTCCGCGGCGGCGGTCCCAGCCCACGACTGCACCGTGGTCTGACGTGCCAGCTGGCCCCCGCGTTGCTCCAGCTTCCTGGTAGGATTTCCGCGGCCGTGCTTCCCTGGCGGCGGTGTCGGTGACAAGAGGTTCTCTGGCCGCGATGGCGGCCCCGGCTGAAGACGACCCTGGCTGAACACGCTGGCAAGCGGCCTCGCGGTCCCGCTCAGCCACGGCGGCGGGCTTTGGCCAGCACGTGGTCCGCGTGGTTGCGCCAAGCGTCACGGGCGATCGGTGGGCCGTGAAGAACTTGGACGAAATTAGGTACTGTGGGCCCCGGGCCCATCAGAAAACGGCGCAGGATGAAACACATGTTTTGGGGGAGCCCCAAGTTCCAGGGCCCTCTTCGCTGGGGCGGACCCTCGTTCCTCATGCCAAAGTCAAAGCGTTGGCATAAGAAGCATGTGGATTTCGGAAGAGGATCGGGGTTCGTATGTCATTCCTCGGGCTCTCCCCGCGCTCTAATTCGGGCGCAGCTGGGGCAAAAGTGAGGGTATCGTTCCCTGATCAAGGTTCCTTCTGGCAAGGTTTTGGCTGCAGTTGATGCGGCAGCCGCAGTCTTTGCTGGGGCCACGCGGACAGGATTTCGGTAGTGCCCCTTCGAGGGCCAAGGGCCCGTCGAGGAGCTCACGCGCGGCTGCTCGGGGTCTCTCTTAACCGGGTCGCTGGCATGGGGGGCGGCGTGTAGCGAATGCGTGTTGAGGAGGATGAAGGAAGGAGGAGGAGGAGGAGGAGGAGGAGGAGGAGGAGGAGGAGGAGGAGGAGGAGGAGGAGGAGGAGGAGGAAGGAAGGAGGAGGAGGAGGAGGAGGAGGAGGAGGAGGAGGAGGAGGAGGAGGAGGGGCGGGCCGAGGGTAGCACAGGGGGGCCAGGGGCAGCACAAGCGGGGCGGGGCAGGGAAGCACCAGGAGGGAGGGAGGGGGCAAGACAGGAGGGACGCGAGAAGAGGGGAAAGTTGAGCACGACGCGGGGGGCGGGGGGGGAGGGAGGCGGCAGGAGGGCGAGCGGCCGCGCGCGCCAACTGCTCTCCAGACCACCCACAGGGGCACGAGGACAGCCGCGCTCCGCGGTCTGGACCAGGACGCGCTGCTCCTCTCTGGGGATGGCTGCGCCGTGGGCGCGAAGGTGGTCGCGCGAGGCGCGGAGGCTTGGGAGACTCCCTCGGGGGGTGGGACCGCCTGCCGAGCCCAGGCGCGAGTGCAGAGGTGGAACAGACTGAACTTCGCGTGCAAGGCGGGACCACGCGCCCTCCTCCGCCCGATCCTCCTCCTCCTCCTCCTCCTCCTCCTCCTCCTCCTCCATCCGCCTTGTCCTCCTCCGCCTCCTCCTCCCGGGACTCCCCGCCGCCGCCTCCCCCCGCCCTCCCCCCTCTTCCTCCTCCTCCTCCTCCTCCTTCTCCTTCTCGTTCTCGTCCTCCTCCTCCTCCTCCTCGTCCTCCTCCTCCTTCTCCTCCTCCTCCTCCTCCTCCTCCTCCTCCCAGGCGTCCTTCTTCACGTCCTTCTCTCTATCGCCGACATGTCCCTTTCTGAATCGAAAGATCTCCCTTGTCGATTGACCGGCCGATCGATCCGATCCAGGGTAACCGATCCGTCAGCTTAGGCCAGGCATCCTCGAGTGCTGCTCGCCCGTTGGATGTCCGTAGTGATGCGCCCTAGAACGGAGATGTATCTGGGACCACATTCCGAAAAGCCCGCCGAGAGCATTCGCCCCACCTGACTCGGGCCCTTCGCCTCGTCATAGCATTCCTCTTGTTCCTTCTCAGCCTCCTCCTGCTCCGCCTCCTCCTCCTCCCTCCTCATGCTTCCCATCCCCCCCTGCCTCCCTACCTCCCTTATCTCTCTTGTTTCTCTCCGCTCTCCTCTCCTCTCTCCTCTACCCGTCTCTCTTTTTTCTTATGTGTCCTTTATCTCCCTATCGCTCTCTCTCTCTCTCGCCTCTTTCGCCGCCTCTCTCGCCTCGCCTAGCCTCGCATTGGCCGTCACCGCGGTGACTCGTCGAACCAGAAAGTTGCCGGCCTTCGCAGCTGACGGGGACGGACCTCCACGTTGCAGCCGCTGGCCAGTCGGGAAGAAGGAGCAGGCAGGGGGAGGCCAGTGGGCCTGGCAGCACGCATCGCGGATACGAGGGCTTGTTGTTCCTAACCGTCCTGTGGTGTTGGGTCCTCGTTTTGACAAGACTGCGCCCCGCGTCACTCCTCCTCCGTGGGCTTCGCAGCACGCATCGCGGATACGAGGACTTCTTTCCTAACCATCCTGTGGTGTTGGGTCTTCGTTTTGAAGAGACAGCGCCCCGCGTCACTCCTCCTCCCGCTGCCCCCCTCACCCTCCCCCCCTCCCTGCGTTTCACCCAACCAATTTCGGCACACTCCTCACACGGTTCGTGGCCCCATAGGGAGCTCCACCGAAGGCTCCAGTGGCACAGGCCGCTTGCGTCAACGCCACCCAGGACAGTGTTTCGTGGCCCCATATGGAGCTCCACCGAAGGCTCCAGTGGCACAAGCCGCATGCGTCAACGCCACCCAGGTCTTCGTGGCCCCACAGGGCGCTCCACCGAAGGCTCCAGTGGCACAGGCCGCCTGCGTCAACGCCACCCAGGACAGCGCTTCGTGGCCCCATAGGGAGCTCCTCCGAAGGCTCCAGTGGCACAGATGCGCCAACGCCACCCAGGAGTGGCCCCATAAGGCTGAGCTCCACCGAAGGCTCCAGTGGCAGGGTCCGCATGCGTCAACGCCACCGATTTCGGCGCACCCCTCGCACGTTTCGTGGCCCCACAGGGAGCTCCACCGAAAGCGGTACCCACAATACGGCACTCGCAGCTGCATATGGTTGGGTCCTTCGTCAGGCTATTTTCTCTTTCTCTCTCTCTCTCTCTCTCTCTATCGCTCCCCCTCTCTCTCTCTCGCCCTCTTCTTCTCCCTCTCCCTCATGTTCTCTCGCTATCTCTCTCTCTCTCTCTCTTTCGTTATGCTTTCATGTTTCTCTCTCTATATATGTGTAAAATATATATGTATATATAGTCCCTCCCCTATGCATGTGCATAGATGTGTACAGACATGCATACATGCATACACACAACTATATACATGTGTATGTATGTATGTATGTATGTATGCATGTATGCATGTATGTATGCATATATGGATGTATGTATGTATGTTTGTGTGTTTGTTTGTGTGTATGTATGTATGTATGTCTGTATGTATGTATGCCTGTATGTCTGTATGTCTGTATGTCTGTATGTCTGTATGTCTGTATGTCTGTATGTCTGTATGCATGTATGTCTGTATGCCTGTATCTCTGTATGCCTGTATGTCTGTATGTCTGTATGTCTGTATGTCTGTATGCCTGTATGTCTGTATGCATGTGTGTATGTATGTATGTATGTATGTATGTATGTATGTATGTATGTATGTATGGATGGATGTATGGATGGATGTATGTGTGTACGTCGTTATCGTCATGCCCTCGCTCTCTCTATGCACGTTATGCTAGACACGCGTAGATCCATACATTTCAACACACAAAAGTCGACGATGGGGAATCGCAACAGAACAGTGGTGTTGGCATAGTTCAAGCTGTTTGATTAAATCCAAAGGCCTCAGCGAACACAATTGAATGACGTAGATCGATAACAGGTATTCCGTCTGACTATTCATTCCATGGGCGCACGTTAAGCCTGTTCAATGCACGTGATTGGTTTGCTTCATGTAGTGTGTCTAATGTAGTTCAGCGGCCTCTCTGGCGGAGCCGACGGCGAGCCCCAGGCGCGTACGAACTTGATCAAACGATTAAATAGCGTTCAGGGGCCCACCCTGACTCTCAAGACGTGTTCGAAAAAACAACAGGTTTCGGCCTCTGCGGGCCCTCGCCGAGCCCCGGGGCCGTCAAAACACGACTCGGGGTCGGAGGATTCCGCCGCACCCTCGATGCATCGGCGATGCGGCCCGATGTGGAGCCCGATTTGCTCCACGCTGATGGCACCGATGCTTCGCCGACGGTGCGTCGCCGATACATCGGTGATGCACCGTTCAGGTCGGGACGATTGAAGCGGGCACGGAAATACCAGGTGCAAAGACCGACAGAATTTCTTGTTCACTCTGAGCAGGACTCGTTGTCGGCGTCGCCGCGTTTGTTGTCCATTTGGGACAAGGCCACATGCCCAACAGCGGCAGCTGTCGGTTTTGGACAAACTGACTCCATGACTGTGACAGAAACGATTCGGGACGAAAAACCGTTCCTAATTAGGGAAGTTGTCGGGATCTCCGGTGATCACGTAAATAAAACAAGACATCGGAGGTCAGGGTGCGTGAAAAGTTTCGTTTGGGGGGGCAGGAGGGAGTAGTGAGGAGGGAGGAAAGGGGAGGGAGGAAGGATGAGGAGGGAGGAGAAGGGAGGAGGGAAAGGCTGGAGGAGGGAGGAGGAGGGAGGAAGGAGGGAACAGGAGGGATGAGGGAGGAGGGAGGATTGCATTTCTGACGACAGTCGTGGGCCGCCAGCGCTCCAGGGCCAAGCAAGGGAAAGGACAGGAGGCTTGGCAGCGCGGCGCCGCTGTCGCAGCACCTCCCCCTCCAGCGCCGGCTCGCGAAGAGCCGGCCGCGGCGGGCGGAGAGGCAGGGGGCGAAGGCGGCTGCCACAGCTTTCAGAAGGCATGGGGGGGTTCCCCATCGTGACCTTCATCTCATTCGCGGGGGAACAGGCCGCTCGCCTGCACGGCCGTCGGCGCACGAGGCGGGCGGCTGGATGGACCACCGCGCCGCTCTCGACTTCGCCGAGGACTTCGCAGATGGCCTGTGGCCAGCCTGGAAGAGTGCGTGCGGCCTGGTTCACTCCGACAGTTCCTCCAAAAAGTTGTGGCCATTCTTCCACGGACGGCGACGGCGCGGCGGGTGGGGGACCGACCCATCGCGGCCGCATGCGTCGTGGAATCCGACGCGGCGGACGACATGCGAACCGCGCCGGCGCGAGCTCGGGGGGGGCTCGCGGACGAGTCGCGGGTTCTGCGCCCAGACGCGATCCACTGCGGCCTCGTGCTGCAGACCTTCGTCCTGCCGAGCTAGGAGGATCGGGCGTGGATTGGGGCCTCCCCGGCGTTTCGTCTGCGATGGGCGCGGGGGGGAAAAGGGCCCGCGCGGTCGCCGAGGCAGCAACGCGCTCGTTCAGCTGGACCACCCAAGGCCTAGGATTATTGAGCGCTTGGGCCTGTTGCGCTCAGCCGTCGCGCACGGCCGATCCGTTTTTGGGGCGCGCGTTGGGCCGATATTTCGTCGCGTTTGTCTTCGTTCGCGTTTGGATCGCCTGGCTCCGGCGACCGCCGCGGACGCGCTGCCGCAAGGAGCCCGGGCGCAGCTCACCAATCACAACGGCCGCAGGAAGGCGCGGGGCCCAGAGAAGGAGGAGCGCGCGCCCGTGCCCACGGCGGTCGCGAACGACGACGCGCGGCCCGCGTTGCGCGCTGCCCTGGCGCGCCCGTCGCGGTATTCGCGACGTTTCTCAGTCAGTGTTGGCGCCCCCCTCGTGCGCCGCGCCGCTGCCGCCGCCCTTGCCGCGGCGCCAGGTTGGCGGCGATAGCGGCGGCAATCACCCCCGAGCGCGCGGATAGTGCTGCGATGCTTGTGCGGCTATGCTCGCTGCCTGGCAGCGTGCGTCATTGGTTTGCTTCATGCGCCGCTCAATGCAGTTCGGCGCGCCCCCAGGCGGAGCCGACGGCGAGCCCCGGGCGCGCCTGCATTTGATCAAACGGTTCAATTCGTTGATTGGCGTTGAGTCTCGCCCTCCAGCAGGCCGCGCTTTCGTCGCGGAGGGCGCGTCCGTAACGCGCAAGTTTACTGACCGAATTGCGGTGGATAGATCAAACAACTTGAAGTAGTTTGGTGTTCGAGTTCGCCCCATGGACCGAACGCGCGTGCGTTCATAGCGTTGAAACGCGCAAGCAGTGCAAGTGGTTCGATTGCGGCCCAGGGCGAAATACATGCAACGCGCATTCATTTAGTTCGCGTGGCCGGGTAGATTCATTTGACTGAAGGCGCGAAATTCATGTCCGCGCTCCGCGAATTCCCGCCAGCCCATTCAGAAGCCCCGCCCACGAGAGCTGTCGGGGAATGGAGGAAAGAGACAGATATAGTAAGACTGGGCGCGCAAGGGGAGCAGAGGAAGGATGGCGTTGATCCATCCTGGAGGCTATCTTGAAACGTCGAAGGCCGTCTTGGAGCCGCGGGGCATCTAGGGGCCGTCTCG